GGGGGCATTACATAAAATTGATGTGAAGATAGGGGGGTCCAAAGTAAAATTACATAATTGACAGAGGGGGGGCCTTAACTTTTATTCAAACTTTTCAATATTTTCTTTGTCTAAAATTTAACGTTAATAACAACAACTGTAGCAATTAGTGTGATATTGAAATTACTTCAATTTTTAAGACATGTCAAAGAAGGTTTTACTAACAATGCTGATCATGTTTAATCTGCTAGCTAAAGCTTTTATCTTTTTTATGGAAAAATTTATTATGAAACRCGAAACATAYTGGRGGTCTAAATCCAAAGACTCAGTGATGTTGGATTGAAACTGAACAAGATATGGATATTTATTTCTAGTATAGATTTTGTAATGAAATCGACAAAAAGCTTCCTAGTGTGCAAGTAAAAAAGTTGTTTGCTTCAGGACAGTTATCATCTTCCAAAGCTAAAGAAATGAAGGAGGTGTGTCAGAATCTGCTGGTCGATGAAGCTACTCTCAAATCCTTTGTGCACCATCTTGAGTTTCTCTCATTAAAAACTAAAAAACGGGAGGAAGAACGAAATTCACTTCCTGATATTAACTGGAAGGATGAATGCGAAGTCAAATCCCTCACTGCGAGACAAATTAAAAAATCGCTGTGTCTATATGGCCGGTTACCGGTCAAGGTCTTGAAAATTATGCTAAATGGCCGGCAGCCCATAAAATGTGTTTTTTCCCTCTCTTATTATCTAAATGAGCTCCCAAACCCCAAAATAAAACTCTATGACTAAAATGAGCGTGTTAAAACTTACATAAACGTCGCGCCGAATTTCGTTGCACTTAGAGACTTGAACCGATACTGCCGGCCACGCAACAACGAAATCCTAAATGGCCGGCAGCCCATAAAATAACAGATTTCTCTTTTATTATTCTTATTTAAAGAGTTAAAACAACATAATCAACATTTCTGAAACTTTCATGGTACTGTCACGTTAGAGGCATTTTTCTTTTCGAGAAAAATCTCAACCAACACGGCGGACTGTCGGTAACACAAAATCAAAATCCTAAATGACCAGCAGTTCACAAAATAACAGATTTGTCTTTTCTATTTCTATTTAAAAAGTTAAAACAACATAATCGACATTTCTGAAACTTTCATGGTACTGTAGAGACATTTCTCTATTCGAGAAAAATCTCAACCAACTGACGGCGGACTGCCGGTCACGCAACGTCGAAATCCTAAATGACCGGCAGCTCATAAATAACAGATTTTTCTTTCCATGCATCTTTTATTATTCAAATTTAAGAGTTAAAGGATTACTGCCAGTTCCAACTGTAAGTACATTACTCTATCCGAGAAAAATCTGCATTCTTTACTAGGATTACAGTTCATGTTCAGAGGGTTATGCTGTGTGGCAGACAGCTCACATGATAATGTTGTATTTAAAGTGATATATGATGATAATGTTGTATGATGATAATGTTGTATGATGATAATGTTGTATGATGATAATTTGATAATGTTATATGATGATAATGCTGTATGATGATAATGCTGTATGATAAAAATGTTGTATGATTCATCACACAACATTAACATACAAGATCATACAAAATTATCAGCATACAACATTATTACCATACAACCATTATCATATCATACAACGTTATCATCATATAACATTTTCATAATACTACATTATCATCATACAACATTATCATCATACACCATTTGAGTCATCATACTACATTATCATCACATAACATTATCATCATACAACATTATCATCATACATCAATGCTATAGTTCTCCTATACTAAAGTCTTATTTCATCAGGATAATGATTCCACTGTATATGACAGATATGAGCTGTCTGCCACACAGCATAACCCTCTGAACATGAACTGTAATCCTAGTAAAGAATGCAGATGTTTCTCGGATATAGTAATGTAATGACACTGGCAATAATCTCTTAATTTTGAATAATAAAAGATGCATGAAAAGAGAAATTTGTTATTTTATAGGCTGCCGGCCATTTAGGATTTTGATGTTGCGTGACCGGCAGT